GCCAAGGACCTGCATCCAAGATTACTCTATCCAGCAAAGCTATCATTTAGAATGGAAGGGCAGATAAAGTGCTTCCCAGATAAGGTCAAGTTAAAGGAATTTGTCATCACCAAGCCCTTATTATATGAAATGTTAAAGGGACTTATCTAAGAAAAAGAAGATCAAAAACTATGAACAGTAAAATGACAACAAACTCACAACTATCAACAACTGACCCTAAAAAACAAAAACAAAAACAAACTAAGCAAACAACTAGAACAGGAACAGAATCACAGAAATGGAGATCACATGGAGGGTTATCAGTGGAGAAGGGGGTGGGAGGAGAATGGGGGAAAAGGTACAGGGAATAAGAAGCATAAATAATAGGTACAACATAGACAGGGGAAGGTTAAGAATAGCATGGGAAATGGAGAAGCCAAAGAACTTGCATGTACGTATGACCCATGGACACGAACCAAGGTGGGGGACATGCTGGTGGGAGGGAAGATGCAGGGTGGAGGGGACTAAAGGGGAAAAAAATGGGACAACTGTAATAGCATAACCAATAAAATAATATACTTTATAAAAAAGTGAAACACGTCAGAGAAAGATAGATGCCATATGGTTTCCCTTATATGGGGAAATCTAAAAACCAAATTAAACAAACAAAACAGAACCAAACTCATACATAAAGAGTAATATTATTACAACATGGCTTATTCCACTATTTTTTAACTGTGGTTGTTACCAAAAAAAGTTGTTGGTTTTTTAAGATGTGGATTTATTCTGCTTCTTTGTAATTCCAATATTGCTTTTACAGACACTACATAGAATGGCGTTTCTCAAAGTCTTTACATCACCTGCGTCATTCCTCTGGGTGGAGTGTCAAAATGCACTTTTGAAAACCCCAGGCTGCTGAATTTTCAAAATTTGGTTTTCTCACCCAGCATATCAATGTGTCTATTGTTGGCTTTATATAGCATGAGATAGCCTCTGATAGAGAACCACAGGTCCCTGTCCTTTGTTCTATTTGAGGTTTTTATAATGACCTGGGTGAAGATAAGCAGAACTCCTCTGGGAGAATATGTGCCAAGACAGTCAATGGTACAGAAATGCCAATTTTACCTTAAGAAATGAGATTGGATTATTTTATATTTTAAAAAATCATGGCATAAAGTGGAAATTCACATGGTTTTTAATTACAACAAAATAATTCAGGGAAATGTCCCTTTTCTGGCAGTTGCTTAGGACAATTGCTCTGGTTTCCCCAGATGAAACGTTTACTTTCCCCTTCCATTTGGAATATTCTGATATAGGAGACCTTGTCTGTGTTCATGTCATCTACAGAGTTGGAAAGTATATATTCATTCATTCATTTATAAAAATGCTAAATAAAATAAGTTATAGACATCTTATTAGATACTTTCTCATGTCATTTAAAACCATTACAAGACATACTGAGAGAAGGCAACCCATTTTATTCCAAGTCATGACAAATAACAATGCTGTCTGCTATTTGATTTTCAAGCACTTTTTAAATCTATCTGTCTAGTAATCTCATTAAAAACATATTAGTTTATTAAAGCTTTTCCTTAGTTGTCATTTGTTTGCTGCTAATGAACATAATACACATTTTTGCATGCTCAATTATGGCTGCAAATTCTGTTACCACCTGACATCTGATTCATCTGGCCTAAGTTTAAACACTTTGGTGTTGGTTTATTAATCTTTCATGTATTTTGGGCTGAAAATTCCCACTTTTCATAGTTCTCTATATTCAGTTTAAAAACACATCTAGAAAAGAGAAGAAAAAAAAACAACCCAGGAGTTGAATGATTCTGCTACTTCTCTAATATGCTTTCTGTTATCATCTCTAAGCAGTAGACTTATTATTTCCTTGTTCTTTTTAACTAAAAAAGAAATATGCCTTACAGTTCCTTCATCCACTCTATCATTTTTTTATTCTTAATTTATTGGGAGTCTTAATTTAAGACACTTTTATAAATAGATTTGCTACATTTTTACATTCATCCTTAGTTACTCTCCCTTCTTTATATCTTTTATACATACACTTGAAATTGTAGATTACCAGACAGCCATTCAATTTACCTGAGCTGTCTCCCAATAAATTCATTTGAATTTTTTGCAATTATTCAGCTAGAAGCTTTGTTGTTGTTGTTGTTGTTGCTGTTTTAACCTCCTTTTGTGAGCTATAATCCCGTTTTGAGACTCAAGTCCATGGTCCAAGAACATTCATTTCTTTGAATTTTTTATAAGTTTCCCAAAGTCCAGGGTACTTGTCTGATTCTAAAGTCCAGGGTTTGCTTTTCTGGCCATCATAAATTATTAGCTTGGAGTTGTGAACAATGTTTTACATCACAGCACATCACTGATGATAGTCTCCCATGTGATACACCCTCACACGTATCCCAAGTTTTACAAACCTCAAGAATATTTTGTCTGAAAGTAAAACATTGTAATTGCATTTAACTGCGGCCTATATTGACCATATGTCAGTTACAATTGCTCTCCACAATGATACGGTGACATTGATAGACAAGCTGCTGATTATGTAGAATTCCATGTCACTTCTTGAAAGAACAAAAGAGGAATGATGTCATCAGGATAACCTTGACTACACTCAAATGTATGTATTTTTAGGAAGTAGATGATTAACAATTTTACTACTTTCACTATTAGTAACAAATTGTTTGCAACTCACTTCATGTGCCAAGACAAGTTAAAGAAGATAAAGGCGCTTTCTCCCCTCCATACCACCAACTGGCTTTTCCTCATTGGTCAAAACTAAGTCCAGCCCGACTCGATCTGAATTGTGAGGGCAGCCAGCAATTCATCTCACCAGGGTTCTCCAAGTCGTCTTTCCTGACAAACAACCTGCCTTTGTGGGATTTGGGTGCCATGTGGCTCAGTCGTCTATGACATTCTCCCAGTCATACATATTATTTAAAATGTGCTAATATTTTCACAGTTTCTATATGAGCTCTTTAAATATGACAGTGAGATTTCATGATGATTTTAGAGTAAAGAAATGAAACCTTTTGAAGTCTTTAATTTAAAATAAGTTGAGCATAATTTGAAGCTAAATAAAAAATCGCCTGCAAAAGGTATTTATCTAACAAATCCTAACAATGGACACTGAATTAAAAACTGTTCGATCATTAGCCAATGCACTGAGTGATGGGGAGGAGTGGGAAGGGAGGGAAGGGGAGGGGAGGGGAGGGGAGGGGAGCGGAAAGGAATTTTTGAAAAAGGGGAAATTTGGGAGTTCCAAGCAGGCCATCCATTCATGCTGGTCTTCTTCTATTATGCAGGTATGGGCACGCTAGAATTCTTTTTTCTTTTTAGTGAAGAGCCATTTGAAATGAACATTTGTTTTCATTGTCCAGCTGCTTGTATTATAATTTCAACAATGTGTTACATTAAAGCCAATCTACTTCTTAAACAAAATATAATTTTTGCTTAGAACCTGCTTCTCAGAATATTTAAGGACTCCTGACACACCTTCATAAATCTGTTCTATACTCCAAAACCTTCAGCGTAAAGGGAATATAACTTTTAGTAAAGGTGGTGAAAACTTTAAGAAAAAACCTAAATTTTATTTTTTAACTGAATTTATTGAGGTGACACTGGTTCGTAAAACCATATAGGTTTCAAGTGTAGAACGTAATAAAACACCATCTGCACACTGCACCGTGCGCCCATCTCCCAAAGCAAAGTCTCCTTCTGTCCCCCTTTCACTCCCCTTCACCCAGCTCTACCTACGCCCCCCCTTTCCCTCTAGCTATCACCACATTGTTGCCTGTGTCTGTGTGTTGTATATAGACACAGACTCTGTGTGTGTGTGTGTGTGTGTGTGTGTGTGTTGGTTAATCCTTTCACCTTCTTTCATCAGCGCCCCAACCCTCCTCCGCTCTGACAACTGCCAGTCTGTCCCACATGTCCACGCCTCTGTTTCTATTCTGCTCGTCAGTTTATTTTGTTCATTAGATTCCACATATAAGTGAGATCATATGGTGTTTATCTTTTAAAGCCTTTTCCTGTCTAGTCATGTGATGAATCCACTGAAGCTGCTCTTTCAAAATGTTAACACATCCTTTATTGGATCTAAAAAAAGACTTTCAAAGTTCTTTCCTTTATCCAGGAAGTCAAAATATAACGTGGCAAAATATCAACAGCTTAGATGTGGTCTTTGACTACCTGAACATCTCCATACAAAGCAGAAGGGGGAAAAAGAAGAGAGAGAGTGAGAAAATAAGACTAAAAATCAAAATAGTAAAGAAATGGTTTTAAAATGAGCACTGAAAAAGACCCACACAATGTGTCAGCAAATGTATTAGAGTGCAAGTTACTATTTTTTTGAAATGGCCTTACTATTTATCATGTCCTCTTTTAAAACTTATTTTTTTGCTCTTTATTGTATTTCTAGGGACAAGGAAAATATTGGATATAGCTATGTAACATATTAATGCATCGCGGTACCATGAGCTGGAGCTCTTTCTCCCATTGCATTAGATTTAACCTTAGTCAATGCAAAATTCTGTACTGTTCACTCTCGCCCGCTAGGCAATAGCCACAGCAAATGCCATGAAGCACTTCGAACAGGAGTGAACACCAAGGCTTAGCTGGTTATACAAATCGTTCTTCACTGCTCCGAATCTATCTTTTAAAAATTCAGACTCCACTTTTTTACAACTATTTTCACATGAATTTATTTTTAAGAACTAATACATTACCCTAAAATATATTTCTAACTTATTAAGCACTGGTCTAAAAATTATTTCTCTGTACATATTCCACAAAACAAAAATCAAGATCATCTGTCCAGTTCAGAGGTCTAATGGTAGATTTTAAAAACACAATTAAAATCATTCCATTTGTGACTTTTATGGAGGATGTGAAAATCTGCCTAAAAGTCATCTAAACAGTCAAATATACCCTGAGAGTCTTCATTTTTTGGAAGAAATTTTGTGGGTTCTTGTGTTTGCCTGAGCTATAAGACCTTAGTAGTAATATTCTGGTCTAGAGCCCTCACTTTTAAAAGTCATCTGAGATTCCACACTTGACCCAGGACAAAGCAGCAATTTTTCTGAATCGTCTCTGTGCCTTAGGGTCCAAAGTTCCCCTGTACTTTGAGACCTCGGGGACAGGGTTTCAAACTGGATATAAGTCTCTTTTGCCAAATCCTCTTCCCAGAAGGATTGCGATTTACACAGCAGTTTGCAAACTTTGTACAACAGGAAAAAAATCAATGGCAAGACAACAACACAGGCAGTACCACTCACTGCAATAACGAAAGGCTCTTGAGAATGACCTTCTTCACCTCTGTCAGTAGAAAAAGTGATACACTGGTCTTTCTGGGGAGGCACTCCTTTCGGGCAGACACATGCTATGTACTGCCCACCGGGCTCCAAGCCCTCTATGGTTACTTGGTTCTTGCTGGAGTCTGCATTCAGCAGCAGCAGGTCCTCCTCACCATGCTTGGAATACAACACGGTCACCTCAGAGTTATGCATGCTGTTAACGGTGTTCCACATCAAGGTCACACTCTCTTTGGTCTCACTGACTGCCCTGAGATTTTCGATTGTGGCATTCGTCTCCACCGGCATTGCTCGATCCAACAATGCCAGCTCTTCTTTTTTACTTGCACTAGCGGGGGGAAGCTTACTTCCACCAGTCTCCACCTTTAAATTTCTTTTCCCATCTGGATGGAGCTGGAGTGACTGCTGGCTGATCATAGTGGTGCTTGTTGAAATTCTAGTACTTAGAGTTGTGGTTGAAGAAACAATGGAGGAGAAGAAAGGAGATAAAGAGAAGGAAGCAGCAGAAGGAGGAGATGAAGCGGAAGTAGAAAGAAAAGTTGAAGAAGACGGGGAGAAGGAAGAGGAAGAAGAAAGCCAGGGAGATGGCAGTGAACCAGGCATGGATACAGATGTTCTAGATCCTGGCTGGACTTCTCGCTCAAAGTGATCTCCAGTTCTTCTGTCAGCAGAGTCTGATGCTATGGCGGTTGTGACAACACCAACCACTGTCACAGTAACCACAGCTTCTGACATTCCAGCCAAATTTTTGGCCTTGCACTTGTAATCCCCAGCATCCTTGTAAGAGATGCCTGTCAGGCTTATTACGGACCATCTGACTCCTTCTCCTGGAGATTCCTGAATTACTGGAAGAAAAAAATATATAACTCTGTGAGGGGGAGGGGAAAAGAAAAAACAACATGCCAGCTGGAAATAAGTAACTATTTGGTTCTACATGCGTCCCTTTTCCATAAGCCAAGAGGCAAATGGCACAGTGCAATTCCCTGATGCCAGCAATGGTTCTGTAAATGGTACAGGAAGGTCCAGGTCATGCCGGGTATCGTGAGGTCTGTATTGGGAATGGTATTTTTAAAAGACATGGAGCTGTGAATTGGGCGGCTTGATTTTAGTAAACTTTTGTCCACTAAATCACATGTAATTCAGGTAAGTCAATTAGTATCTTTAGGCGTCTTGTTTCTGTACTTTTAAAATTAGGGGATAAGACAAAAGTGATCTCAAAGATTCCTTCTAATTTCAATACACTGTGGTCCTATAAAATGTTTATCGCAAGACTTTGATTAAATACTTCCCAAATATTTCTGCATTGTAATAAAATACTATCTATCTACAGAGGGTACAGCAGATCATTTTCTGGCACAGAGCAGGCACAATTTGTATTTTCAACCTTTCATTTTATATTTAGTTTATATGAATTAATAAACCACGGATTCTTTTATTTGCATAATAATAGATGGTCTTGGAAAAGTTGGAATTTTGCTTTCCAAAACAGTAAAATCTAACATATGTCCATTCTGTCTTGACTTCTGAAGCTTTGTGAAGAATAATAATACATGAAGCAGTATCCTATTCGCCTCAAATTTAACTCACTCCCTCAATATATGAATCATTTATGATCTATTTATAGGAATATTAGGCCTTGATTTTTTTAAATTACATCTGATTTCACATTTGGACTTTGATTTAATTTAATTTTAAAGAGTTTTAAGAATATATTGCTTTAATAATCAGAATATCACTACTGAAACTAAGGTCAAAACACTGACATTGACATAATAGGATCTGAAAAGCTTATGAAACAAACATTTCTAAAAATTATACTTTTTGCTTCATAATCATGTTTACATATAATTATTTAAAGAATCATTTTAAAATAAGAAACTAGTGTGAAAATCCCCTTTGAGGAAATTGTAATGGTTATATAATTTAAAGTTAACCATATCCAAGAAGACACTGCAGGACAAAGGCCTTATCTGCAACCATTCACGCACTGGATCATGTTGTTTTTTAAGAAAAAAAAATCAGATTCTCTAATTTCATCTATGTAATCAGTCAGATAAACTGAGGAAAATAATGACCAATAAAATGAAGCTTTCGAATCTCTTTCACCTAACAACCTTGGCATATTTTAATAGAATTAATCAGCCAATTGCAAATCTCCCCAATCATTGAAGTTAAATACAGATCTTTGAAAACCCATTGTTTCAACATCGGCCTGGATTAAGAAAATACCTGTGTAATTAACTGATGAGCTGTCAGGTCTGGTCCACGCGAGCTGCGGGGTGGGGTAGCCTGTGGCATCACACCGCAGCAGGACATTGCTGCCCACAGCAGACGTGATCTGGGTGGCTGAGGCCGTCACCGATGGCTGCAGACAGTGATCCAACACGGCCCGCTGAAATAAAATCCCCGCCAGGCTCTCGGGCTCGCTGCAGACCATCCGTGGGTCAAGAAGTACTACAGAAGGGTCAGCAACTCTGGACATTTCGATCATTTTGGAAATGTGACAGTCACAGAACCAAGGGTTGTCTTGAAGACCTAAACCAGAGGAGGAAAAGGCTGGTAAATTTATTCTGATGGCTTCCGTTTACATTACAGTCTCTTGGAGAAACAGGTGTCTGCACTGTCTCTTGAAAAACAGATGTTCTCTCAGGGATGAAATGGAGTCACCTCTCTGTCAGCTTTGCCCGGCCATTCAGCCACCTGAATGAACAAATCCTGTCAGTTCCTATCATTAATGATCACAGCTAAAAGTCAATGAGCACTTACTCTGTGCTTTGTTCTAAGCACTTACCTGTATTATCTCATTTAATCCCAACAATCCTGTAAGGAGGAGAGTATTATTATTCCCCCACTTTTTAAAAATCTTCAAAGATATCCTTATTGATTTTAGAGGTAGAGGAAGGGGGAGAGAGGGGGAGAAACATCAATCAGTTGCCTCTGGTTTGCACCCCAGTGGGGGTCAACCTAGATATGTGCCCTGCCTGGGAACTGAACCCACAACTGTTTGGTGCAGGGGACAACACTTGAACTAACTGAGCCAGCTGACACAGGCTATTTCCCTTTTAAAGGTAAAGAAGTTAACGCACATAAAAAACAAATAATTTGACCAAGGTCACAGCTGATTAGCGTCAGAGCCAACATTTGAATCCATGTACCTCAGAATGCCATAAATGACAGAGATATTTCTAGGGTGCTATGAAAGTACTCATATTTTTTATAGGTGTTATAGGATGCTGGGAGGCACCTGACTCAGCCCGCACTATGTCATGATTTTGTGTGATCTGGACATATTGAGGTAGAATAAGTTCCGTGTAGCAAAAGCATTGAGTGAGATGCAGGCAATGTGAGGAGATAAAATCCTAAAGATTGGCAGAGGTTAGAACGTGGCTTGGCATGGATGTCATACACGGTAGCCATGGAGGTGCATTGTTCAACTCTCCCTCCAAGAGAGAACCAGCAGCCAGGAATACAGTTGGCTGACAGCCTCCAGTTGCAAGTGCCTTCAGAATCTCCCTCCGCTTTCAGTTATCAGCTGAAACGTTTGGCCTAGTGCAAGCCTGAAGGAAAGTGAGGAAAACTCTACTGAAAACTAGAGGAAAGGGGACCCTTGTTATGGAGTGGGAGAAAGTTTAGCACCACTGTCACCTGTGGTTAATATGGAAAGGGGAAAACATACTCGATGAGATCAGTATTCTAGCTAAGTATTTCGCCACAGAGTACTGAACTGCTGCCTGGTGTCTTCATGCTGCTCATAATAAAATGTAAGCAGAGGTCCCCAACCCTTTTGGCACCAGGGACTGGTTTCATGGAAGACAATTTTTCCACAGAAGCAGGTAGAGGGATGGTTTCAGGATGAGTCAAGTGCATTACATTCAAGCTCACCTCCTGCTGTGCAGCCCGTTTTCTAACAGGCCCAAAGTGGTACTGGTCTGCAGCCTGGAGGCTGGGGACCCCTGAACCGTAAAGGACAGACAACAGCTAAAGAAAGATATGAAAAATAAATATAAAATATTTTTATATATAAAAGAGTTAATATAAATATAAGATCCAAAACCTGCTGGGTTCAGTAATGAAACTGTTTCAATATGGAAGTTCCTCAGAAAATGAAAAATGGAACTGCCTTTTGACCCAGAGTTTCCACTCCTGTGTACATATCTGAAGAAACCTGAAACAATAATTCAAAAGAATATATGCACCCCTGTGTTCATTGCAGAATTATTTACAATAGCCAAGATATGGAAGCAGCCCAAGTGCCCATCAATAGACCAGTGGATAAAAAAGCCATGGAATAGCCCTAGTCAGGTGGCTTAGTTTTTTGGAGCATCATCCTTTATACCAAAAAGGTTGTGGATTTGATCCCCAGTTGGGACATGTACAGGAGGCAACCTCTCTAACATAGATGTTTCTCTTTCTCTCCCTCTCTTCCCCTTCCTCTTTCTCTAAAATCAATAATAAAAAATATCCTCAGATGAGGATTAAAAAAGAAAAAAACTGTGAGATATATATAATGGAATATTACTCAGCCATAAAAAAGAATGAAATCTTACCATGAGTGACAGCATGGATGGACCTAGAGGGTGTTATGCTAAGTGAGATAAGTGAGACAGAGAAAGGCAAATACAGTGTGATTTCACTTACATGCGGTATCTAAAGAGCAAAATAAACTAACAAACAAAATAGAAACAGACTCATAGATACAAAGATCAGACTGATGGTTGCCAGAGGCAAGAGGGATTAGGAGGCTCGTTGAAAAAGATGAAAGGATTAAGAAGTACAAATTGATAAACACAAAAATAGTTATGGGGGTATAAAACACAGCATAGAGAATATAGTCAATAACACTGTAGTAACTATGTATGGTGCCATGTGGGTACTGGAAATATCCGGGGGAATATTTTGAAAAGTATATGATTGTCTTACCACTGTCCTGTACACCTGAAATTAATACAAAATAATATTGAATGTGAACTGTAATTGAACAATAAAAAAGTAATAAAACTTTTTTTTACTCCAAGCCTTTCCAAAATTCTCAAATTAAGAAAGAGCTTCAGAGTGAAAATCAAATCCAGTGTTATAGGACTATAAATACACTTGCTGAGATCTTAGAAGGACCTAAGACAGTGCTTCACAGTCTCCAGTCAGATGAAAATCTCTCTAAGGAATTTAGGGTGATGTCCCATAGCAGCTTCCCATAAATCCCAAAGTTGAAAGGATTTACCTCAGAGAGATCTGTGGTTGTGCCTTTTTACTAATGGAAGGGATTATACAACAATTCCTATGGAGAAAAGACAGAATTACACTTCTAAAAAATTCTAAGATGATTTAACTATTCATCTTAAATTCTACACTTCTATTTAGGCCTATTTTTTATTATAACAGCACTTCATGACTGGTTCATATTTTTCTGCCAGTATTTATAAAAGTTTACTGGGGTTTTTTTTCATCTTCGATCTTAGAAATTCCTTTTCTTTCATGGTGAATTACCTTAAACTTCTTCCTCTTAGGAAATCCATGGTCATGAAATCCATGACCAGTTCCTTAATATTGATTTAAATTCTATTCAACTGATCAACAAACATCAAATTCATTCTGTAATAATTAATATGTGTAGAATATTTTATATTTTCAAAACACTTTATTCCAGTTTTTTTCTTTGTCAAGTAGTAACAATACAAGTTGACATTTATTGCCTCCTATGTTGCAAAGACTGTACTTGTCAAGAAGGGTAAAAGGTCTGAGTTTTACCCTACTCTAGGGTGACCAACTCATCCCAGTTTGCTAATTTTATAGATGTTGGCAGAAGATCAAAACTCCTTGTCAGAGAGGCAGGAGAGTCTGTTACTCACAGCTCTGGAGGGAGACATTATCTTTATTACACTGGGCAGTAAGTGTGCCTACCATGTACTCTGAAGGGAGACATACCTCTACCACCCAAGGCGGCTCTATACACAAACATCTTTGAAAAGATAGCTCAGAACAAAAGGCAGTCAGAGCCTGCCTCTGCTCATAAGACATACAGAGACATGAGAGACTGTTGAAAACTGTCTTCCAACAGTGCTGGTGAGGCCTAAGGGTTTGTCTACCTCAATCCTGACAAAAGCATGAGGTGGATACTAGCAATATCATCCTCACTTTGCAAAGGAGAAAACCAAGGTCCAGGAAGTTAAGGGAACTGCCCAAGGTCACTCAAGTAGATGCCATCAGGATTTGAACCTCACTATCCTGACCTGAAAGCTCTCATTCTCTACGACCATATATATGTCCTATACTGACCTTAGGAAGCTGGTATGATTTTTGCAACTTCACACCAAAGGGCATTAAAGCATAAAGAGATTACTGCAGCGACTTTGTGAGTAGTCCTAAATCCCATGTGTCATAGCCTCCTAATCTAATACTCCTTCTACCATAACTCATTTCTTCATCACCTAAAAACATCTAGAGCCACAGGTGGCAGTTATAAGGGCTGTTATCTACAAATAACGAAAGTCAAAGCAGCGGTATCTGGAGAACAAATGTCTTTACAGGGAAAGGCCCAAGAAGAGCAGTTTCAGTCAGGCTTTGAAAGTGTTATAAAAATGTGTCAACAATGAAGCAAAATTCTTTTAAAAATTAATCCAACTTCTTACATTTAAAAGTTATGTAAACCAGGAAAAAAAATTTAAATCCCTCAAAAACAAAATGTGCATTTATTCCAGCTTTGAAACATCTAAGGTCAAAGGTACAACTTTTAAAACCTGAATAACAGTAGCCTAGGTGCTGAACGCATTCATCTAGTGTTTTTTTCTTCTGAGGACAAAGTTACTCTCTGAACTCTCTGAAGTTAAAGTGTTACTTCTACTGCATTCCTTCAAAGCAACATACCAATAACCATAACAGTAATTTGCATTAATTAATTTATTTTATATGACTATTCTTACTGAGGGCCAGATGAACTTTGCCTTAACCCTTTTCCAAAAGGGTAATGTTTTCCATGCATCACTGTAGCTGGATTAAGAAGGCTAATTTTTTTTGTGAAAAGTCTGCAATAAATACCTGTACAACAGTTATTCTACGAACTAAAGCTCTCAAAGGCAAAGACCATGCCTTAGTCAGCTTTGTGGAGGCAGCGGTATTTGACTATTCAAGAGGGAAAAGAAAGTTTTTCCGCAAATGGTGCTGGGACACAGAGCATTTGCTTGGGAAAAAAAGAAACCTCAACCCCTGCTTCATACTAGACTCAAAACTGTTTTGAGATGGATCATAGTCATAAGTATAAAAACTAAGAATCAAGCTTAAAAATTAAAACTATAAAGAAAGTTGAATATCTCTGTTACCTGGAGGTAGGCAAATATTTCTCACATGGGACACAGAAAGCACTAACTATAAAAGAAAAAAAAACCCGATCAATCAGTTGTCATCAAAATTTAAAAGACAGCATGAAGAAAATGAAGACAAGCCACAGACTTGAAGAACATATTCATAATGCATATAACTGACTAAACTTGTATTCAATAATAAAAAGATAAACAATCTTAAAAAAATATAAAGGAGTATAC